GCTGATCAAGCCAATAGGGTGGCCAACCACAGGGAAATAGCAAAATCAGTCAAATACAAGTGACTGGAAGATCAATACATCTTTGTTCCCATAGCATCTGAGATGCATGGCTCCTGGGGCAAGAGTGCCTTGGGATTTCTCGAGGAATTGGGCTCCAAGCTCATTGACGTCACCAGAGACCCAAGAGCTGCCAGTTTTTTGTTTCAGCGCCTCAGTGGGGCAATCCAGAGGGAAAACGCCCGCTGCATCCTCGGTTCCCGTCCTGAAGCGGAGGAGCTTCTAGAGATCCATAACCTTCAAGCAACCATTGTATCAACCAATGTATGTCTTGTAACCTTTAAAAATATAATAAAGCAAAAAAAGTCGAAAGGAAGGGGGGTGGTAGGATAAAAGCATACAGAAGCTGTATTGGAGGGGACCTAAACATTTTCTCTATTGCATTATGTGTGGTTTCCTCCGAGGCTAAGGGTCCCCTCCCCCTTCTTCCAGCCAGATGTGGTACGCTCTTTTCTATTTTCTACATGAATATATTGGAAAAATACTTGTCTCTTAAAAAAAATCTTTTTTTTTTTTTTGGTAAACACATTAATACTGTCATAGCAGAAAAAAGGCAACATCAGCATTAACATTGTCAAGGCAAGAAATACATGAACAGAACTCAAGAACAGCATAACACACAAACAAAGGTCGTATAATACACAATTTTTATTTAATTACATTCGAAGCATGCTACAGAAAAGACAATAATGACAAGAAACCCTACAAAACAGTCACAAAAAAAACATAAACCACCAAAATTCAAGTTAACAGTCAAAAAACAAATTAACACAACATCAACAAACATCATAATACCGAAACACAAAAATACCCGTATCCAACAGCACATTAAACAGATAAATAAAGCAATACAAATCAAGAACCATACACACAGTTAATCATTTATAATATTTATCCAGATAGATGCCGAGGGTACCTTCTTCCTCCCGGACATCCCACCGAACCCACTCCTTTGCAGAAGAGGAAACGTGACCATGCGATGCCGCGGCCGATACATAAAGTGAGGTACGTCCATCACGGCGCCCTCTAACACAGAGGGGGGGAAGGGGGATGTCACAGGGGCGGAATTCACGAGGAGAGGCTGTACAAGGGGGTGGTTATGAAAGCGGTGGAACCACAAGCGGCTGGAGCACAGGAGCCGGCCGTACAGAGGGCGGTAGCACAACGGACAGATTCGCAGGGGACAAAGTCACAGAGGGCGATGGCGCAAGAGCCGACACCACAGGGGGCAGAGTGGCAAAGGGCAGCTAAGCAAAGGGCAGCTAAGCAAAGAGCAGCCGTGCAACGGCTGGCAGCACCGAGGGCAGACACTTGGAGGGCACATACATGGATGCCTGAGGCACGAGGGCCACCAGAACAGAATCTTTCGTAAGAACAATCACCAAGTCCCCCCCCCCCCCTCTCTTGCAACCTCGGCTGGTGCCACAACCTCCCAACCGGGGAACTAGAAAACGGGGATGGAGAGCCAGCCGGAGAAGACACAAGACCAGGCGACAATCTCACCACAGGACCCATCATTGCCGCAACACGACTCGCAGGCTCCCCAACATCGTCGCCCACTTTACCATCCTCAGGTGACGAACTCCCAGAGTCCCCAAAATCTCTGACGTGGGCCCAGGCCTCACCATCAGGCGGAGACGGACTTGAAGCTCAACTTCAACTGCGACCTCTTAGACACAGGACGTAGGTCGTCGGAACTATCACCCCCGCTAGGAGACCCCGCAGCAGAATGTCTGGTCGCAACTCCACACAACTCACCAACACTCAACATTGCAGCCTGAACAACCCAGGGAACAGGACCACACATCGCGAGAGACATCACCGCGTGCACGTCGACATGGGCTGAAGACAGCTTTCGGAAACAGTGCAGTCAGGGGCGCAGCCTCGATGACTGGGGTCATGACTGGAGACTTGACTGGAGACAGAGCAGGCAGGGGAGCTAGGGGTCACACTAACTACCACCTCGACACCCACACCTCCAACTACATCTTGGCGGGCATCAGAGACCAGCAAGAAGGCACCAGACAACCGGAAAGCATTACTCATCACAGCAGCCCCTGGAGACAGGTCCGCGGCCGCCAATGAGGGAAAGTTTTTCTCCCTGAAGAGGTTCACAGGGCCCACCCGGCTTGCAACATAACCCGCAGTCTGGTGGATCGATTGTCCACACCGCAAACAAGGCCAGCTCTGACCCGCATAGAATACTTGCACTGTGAAGCCCAGAAACAGGAGAGACGAAGGGATGGGGTCCTTCATTTGCATTGCCACAGTGCGGGTCCCATCTGAGATACCCTTCCATGACCCAGAAGAGGTAGCATTCACCCGGACACTCAAGACCCGCCGATACCGGATAAAGTGATGCTGGAGAAGCGAGTCAGGGAACTCAAAGGGAGCACCATGAACTGCCACATAGGTAGTCTCACTGCACCTGTCCGACACTTCCACCGAACCACCACCCTCAGGCAGAGTAAACGTCCTCCCGTCATAGCAGTTCATAAAGTCACGATGCACAGTCGTGAAGCAGAATTTCACAACAGCTCAATGCCCGGACACAAGTTGAACGCCGCCACATCCACCCGCAAAATATCAATCATAACCACCTCAACTGCCGGGTAAGACGCTAGTCCAGTAAACTCCAGGCCAATGGTATCCCTCTAATTCACAGGGGAGGGGGGCCGCCATCCCACCAGCCGGCATGGCCCCAAGGGCCCGCTTACAAACACAAACGACTACTGGCCAGCAAACCAGGAGCTCACAGGCGACACGTCTGCCTCCGTTAAAGAGCCAGGCGAACACTCCCGTCTCTTCAATTAGTCGCTAATTTTAGTTAATATTTTGGATATAATTTAATCCCATTACCTCTATTAGCAAATCACCCATGATGCTCAGTGTTTTAATATGTTGTCAGTGTCATCTTCTAAATTACCTCCCAAAATATACATTTTTATTCTCGTTTGTCATCAAAAGGAAGAGATGCAATTAACGCTTCATTACATTTATTACCCATTGCTCTTTGGCCTCATAAGTCATTTATTATCCATGCCTGGCTTCATCCGTAAGTCATTCATTGTCCATTCCTCTTTCCCCTCAATAGACATTTATTACCCATGCCTGGCTTTATCCATATGTCATTCATTGCCCAGACCTCGTTTAAATCATTTAAATGTTAATTCGTTTAATGCTCTCACTTCAATCTCTCATTTATTATTATTATTCAATTCCATTCAGTTTTTTTCATATACAAAATTAGCATAACACGTACTTATGACTTTTAAAAAACTTTCATTTCATTTTGTTCCATGTTTATTCGCGTAGCTTTCACAACAGCCATACAATCCTACCTTAGTTTGGTGGCCAAGGCAGGGCAGGGCCCAAAATTTAAGGCTCAGTTTTTCTTCGTGGGAGAGAATGTTGGGAAGTTTGGTACTAAGGGAAGAATTTAGGAAACTATAATGCAAAGGAGGTTATAGGTAGAATAGTTAAGTTTTATGAGAGGAATTTTAGGCAACTAGATTCCCAAGTAGGTATTTGGGAAGCCAAATTTCTGAATTCCCCAAAAGGAATTTGCGAAATTGAATTTTCAAGGAGGAGTTTGGTGAAGCTGGATTAGCGGAGAAGACATTGCAAAGTGAGCTACAGTGACGAAGATAGAATCGCCACATCTCTGCAGCAGCTGCAGCAACTTTGTTAACTGTTTGAGTTCAAACAATTCAAGCTATTTATTATAATATATAACTTTGGTAATTTCTTATAAATCAACAGAAGTAGCTGGTATTATTGTATCATTATACAGTGTTAATGTACTACGATAATATTAGTTTTATTTAAAAAAAAAAAAAGAAACTCGTTGAACCGCACACAACATATTGTCATATCCAGAGTAATGATATCCTGTTACATATTTAATAACTAATAACTGGGCATTAGGTGATGTAGTGTGGGAGATCGTGCCGCAATTCCTGCTCACAGAGTTTGCATCTGGAGTGCTCAGGATTGGGAGATCCGTCATCTGCAGACACCTGCCACAGGTAACGGTAACCCAACCTGATTCTTGCAACCACTGTGTCGCACAGTCTGGCAGTCGTTTTGTGCTGCCCATAGATATAAGTTTCAGATCTGAATAAATCATAGCTTTTTATACTAGTACTTTCAGGTCGTTGGGAGTCAGTAATTTCTTTCCTATTAGACCTGAGTGTTTGGACAAATACAGTTTTGACAGCAGAGATGGGAATACCTAGATGTAATTCAACTTCATCTTTGTTGCATGCTAATTTGGCTGCAATGTCTGTCTCATTATGATAGGTTATATTTATGTGTGAAGGTATCCATACAAAGGAGAGTCGAGACCCTTTTCTCTGTGCAGCAGTTAGGTCATTTATAATTGGAAGTATGAGGTTCTTGCTGTCGATCTTTCAGGAGAAATTTTATATTGCTTGAAGAACAGACTTTGAATCACAAAATATTATTCCTCCTCCAATGTTTTCTAATATACTGGTAGCTAGTTGTAATGCTGCTAGTTATGCTTGTGTGGAGGTCAGCCAGGAGTTTAACCTGACACTGACAGTCTTTGTGCAAATATTATTTCTATAAAACCTACATGCTGCTACAGTCCGTCCAGTAGAAGATTGGACTGAGCCGTCGGTGTAGACACACAGTGCTCGTGAGATCTTAAATTCTCGAAAAAAACAGAGACCCGCGCTATCAGTCAAAGCTTCCGCCTGCTCCCCCCCCCCCTCTCCCCCCTATCCTCACATCTTAAAAGCTCGGTCTCCTTCCCAGTCTGGGGTATGGAGCATAAACACACCTACACCCTGACGGGGTAGTACCCAATCTGCTCAATAGATGGCGTTACGATGCTATTATTATGCTTAGGCAACTAACTGTCTACAAAATATATTACTTACCTTTCCAGGTAATTATTTTCTGTTTTTACCAAATACGAACTTATCTGCAATGGCAGTTCCGACCGTCTTGTCAGTTCAAGTCTTACTAATTACATATAACAGTTAGGGAGAATTTTTTAATTTAGATTGCGGGTTGGAATTAGTTCTTGAGGGTAAGTTTTAGTGGCTGATTATAGTTGTCTGAAGCTATTTATATGACTGAATGACGAAACGTAATGTTTTTGGATATATATATTGAAGTATTTTTCGAAATTTTAATTGGTTTAAGAACGGCATCTGATCTTTATCAAATCTTAATTGGGGAAAACTTTTTAGGAAATCACGCTGTTTAACTTAAATATAATACAGTAGTTGGAAAGGTTTTATGATGGGTAAATGGCTGCCAAAATCTTTTGATAATGCCTTTCTGGTATTAATAATGTATTTTGTTCATAAATATTTAAGAGAACTCTTTATTAGAATATAATTTCCCCTCTGCTTGGATACCGACTGGAAGATAAATTAGTATATTTTACTTTCCATGAACAGATGTCGAAAACAATTTCCGAGGTGATTGCTTGCTTGGTAGTAATCTACCTTACAGCTGGACAGAGTTGTCAATTTTCTACAGTTACGTTGTATAAAACTACGCAGCTCCCGAATACGTTTTCAAACACGCATACTGCTGCTACGCATCTACCTTCTGCTTCACACAACGTGAAGACCGGAACACTACCTTCCCCGGGAATTCGTGTGGATTCGTTCCTTCCCGTCATATTGCAAGTAACATTATTAATTTTTCATTTCACAAAGGCAATGAATTCATATTAAAACTGTACCATTAATTGCCTGTTTCTCTCTACAGTTCCCGTAAAGTGGCCTTTAGTGTGAGGAAAGCTACAGAACCGCTGCAGGCAGACACTCGCATTCATTTCAGGGTTTGAGACTCTGGTTACTTGTTTGTTTTTGGGTATTTTATTTGGCTTTTAAAACTTTGTTCTTTAAATTTCTGGCAGAAGACTTTTTATACCTCCCTTCTCTTTGCTAAAGTCGAGTGTTCCCCTACATTATTCAACATTATTAGGTTACATTATGTAATAAATGTAAATAATTAATGTAAATAAGACTTGAGCAAATTAGTCTTCTCATTTTTCTTCGTATTTTTTATCTTCTAGTGTGTAGTTTAGTCAACATTCTTCAGTCACGTTATTGTGACTCATCGTCTACATGTGTAAATAGTCCTTATTTACTATTTATGCAAGTGTCAATTAACTGGCATTTGTTAATTGGCACATCAATCATACAATAAATGCCAGTTTAAATGCACTGGTTTTACTCATTGTTTTAAGATTGCATTTGACTATGGAGGTTAGTTTCTTCCAATTTGTTTAAGTTTCAGAGCTGGCATATAACTACCACATGCTATTTGCAAAAGTACCAATTACGGGCCTTGTAGGAACGTTACGAAAATAAACTTTACTAAGAAGCACAAATATAGTTAGTGCCTTAACTTCCTAACTAAGCAAAATAACTTGACTGCTGAAAGATCTTTTGCCCACAAACAGGACGTGTTGGCTAACGTGGGTGGATCCTGGAACCCCGAAAGCAGCGAGTTTCTTGCTCCATACGATGGAAAATATTTTTTCATATTTCACGCAATAGGAGGGAGAACCAGCGACTTTACGTACGTAACCTTCAATCTTTAATGTAATTTTTACAGTTTATACATTATCTAGTCTCGCCGACTGGGCGCATTCTCTTGATAATCATTTGTTTAGCGATCTTCATCTTATTCAGTTGAAATTGTTAATCTTTCATTTGCTACCATAGGAAATCCATAAAATTTAACAATGCTAATCTCTTTACAGAATGGCTTTAATGAAGAATGGGAAATTTGAAGTTACTGCTTACGGAACATTGACGGCTTTCAAACATGGGTCCAACTCTGCCGTGTTGGAACTCAAACGTGAAGACAAGGTGTCCCTAAAACTGCAGCAGGGTGCAATCTACGAGCATTCGGGCAACGAGACCTACACTACCTTCACTGGCTTCCTTGTCTTCTAATGTTAATTTTTGGAATTTCTTCCATTTAATGAGTAAATATATCTCCTTACTCTGTGACTTAACTTTGAAAACTAATCAGATTTATTAGTATGGTAACTTTAAAATATATAATTTTTTAATTTAATGAATCTTTGTTTGTTAAGAGGGGCTGGTATGCAGTACATGCATACTTGTCGATGAAGGCAGGGAAATTTAGACCTAAATGAAATGTGTAGCGCATAGATACTTTTGTTATTGACTAGCAAAGCTAGTCATCCTGTGCAGGTTTGTCTTGAACCCTCTGGGTCACAGAAGGGATTAAAAGCTACACATGCCTGCCATAAATTTTCTTAATGTGGATAGAAAATTTGAAACAAGTTTATTGAGGTATAAAACACTCAAAGGGATGCGGTAGCTAAAGCTATTCTCGCCCTCTTCAGTAAAACTTGTACATTAATATATCTATACTAGCTGTACCCGGCCACACGTTGCTGTGGCTCTTGCTGAGCCACAGCAACCTTCCCCTGTCTCCCAGTCCTCCCCACCATTTTCCCCTCCCCCCCCTCTTCCCCCCCCCCCAACCATTCCTCACTACTGTTCCCTCGTCCTCACAACTATTCCTTCCTCCCCCCACCCCCTCGTCTTCCCCAGCATTCATCAATCCCGTGTCCCTTTTTTTCTCCCCATCATCACCCACTCCAACATCCCCTCGTCCTCCTAACCATTCCCTGCTCCACTGTCCCCTTGTCCTCCCCAATACCTCCCACTCCCTCGTTCTCCCTACTACTCCCACCCTTCCTCGTCCTCCCCCCCTCCCCGCTCAGCTCGTTGTCGCCGTGTGGGGGCTTAGTGGGCGGCTGCCGGAGTGTGATGCTCCTTGGGACAGTCCTCTGTCCTTTTCTAGCCTTGTGCTCCTGCTGCCGTCCTCTCCAATTCTGCTGGGCATCTTTTCCTTTTCCTTCTGTTTCGTTTTTCTCCCCCCTCTTCTCCTATCTGCTTGCCGTTTCCTGCCGACCTTTTGCTCGTTCTGGTTCTTCCCTTGGACTTCTTCTATTTTGACGCCCGGGTGCTTGAGGAGGCATACTCTTGCACCCGTAGAACTGTAGTACCCGACGTCGAGAGCGAGGGAAACCTTTTATTGTCAATCCCCCTTTCGTCACTGAACCCGATCTCGACGGACTGTCGGTTTCTTAAGGTGGCGTTTGTGGGGCGTATACTCACGACGCACCCCTAGGAGGCCCCGGCAAGATCGGCGATAGCTTCTTGTTGGGTGTCCTGCCTCTAATTGTGGCTCCATGGTGGGTGTGGGGGCACATTCGTGAATGAATTCTTTTTTCGTAATGATGATAACCCCTGTTTCGGCTGCTTCTGGTTTACCTTCTCAGGCTCGTGGGGTGGGCGACCAAGCCCCCGAGTCGGTCCGTATTGCAAGACCGGGCTCTGTAGCCTCCGCTGCATTGGGCCCCGACCTTGCTCCTCCTTTGGCCTTTCTGACACCTTCTCCTGGCTCCCCTCCCTCCTCTGTGGTTGGGTCGAGCCCCAAGCCCCCAGTGGTGACTACCTCGTCCCCTGGCGCGGCTCCTTCTCTAGTTGTAACTACTGCGCCTTTTAACCCCTCTCTCTCTGGGGGTTCTCACCGCCGTCCTCGTCACGGCCGCCCTCGCTTGATTCCTTCCAGTTCTGCTACCTATCAAGCCTTGTTTGGTCCCGCTTCGTGGGCCAAATATTTTGATCTCCTCCCTCTTGATTCTGCGCCTCCTGACGATTTCTCCCTCCATCGACATCTCGTTGATTCCGTGGATGCCTCCATTACTTTCAACCCCACTCGTCTCGGTACACGTGTCATTGCTGCTCCTTCTCAGGATGCTGCTTCCCGCTTGGCTGCCTTATCCTGCCTTGGCGAGACCCCTGTTCGGGTCTCGAAGAACGCTCAGTTGAATGCCAGTGTTGGCACTATTTTGCTCCCGCCCCATGTTGCGACCGGTGTTCGGGACCTGCGCGACTGCCACGACGATATTCGACATATCCTTGCTGCCCAGGGCCATTCTATTCTCCAGGTGGACACGTTTACTCGTCCCCCTCGTGGTAGTCGCCGTCAACCCCTCCGGGTTGTGAAGATTACCTTTGATGGTAGGACCCTTCCACCCTCTGTCATTCTTGCTGGTGCCAGGTGCTCTGTCCAGGAGTACATTCCTTCTCCTCGGCTCTGCAACAAGTGCTGGAGGTTTGGGCATGGTGCCCTCCGCTGCTCCGGGACTGTCTCTCTCTGTCCTTTGTGTGGTGGCGAAGGTCACTCTTAAGTCGGAGTGCACTTCTCCCCGGCTCGTTGCCTCAACTGCGGTGAGGCCCATCCTGCCTTCTCCCGTGCGTGTGTCCATTACAAGCTTGAGGCAGCCGTCCTCAACTTGAAGCACCGGGAGCGTTTATCTTTTCCTGAGGCGAGACGCCAGGTTCGCCGGCTCCCGCCTTATGCTAATATCTCTTATGCTCGCGTGTTGCGCTCTTCCTCTCCTCGTCCTTCCTGCCTTCCTCAGACTCGCAACCGTTTCCGGGCATTGGACCCTGATGCGCCCACTGCCCCCTCCTCTGTTCCTTTGGGTTCTCTCCCGAATGGTCCCCCTCCTGGTCCTCTGTCTGAGGTTCCCCTTCCTTCTACCCGGTCTGTCGTGTCTCCTGTGTCTTCTTCCTCGTCTCCCTCCGTTCCTCCTTCCCATCCTTCCCCTCCGTCTCTTGACTCTCCCCGCCGCCTGTCGGTGCGGGCTGATGTCCATCGCTCTCCAAACGGCCGTCATGTGTGCTCTCGTTCAGCTTCTCCTGTTGAGACGCTTGAATCCGTTGCCCAGTACGTGGTTGCTGGAACACCTGTCTCTTTACGTCAAGAAGCGTAAACCTGGCTCCTCTCCTTCCTCCTCCCCGGTGAGTAAGAAGGTTTCGCTTTCTTCCTCGGCCCCTACTTCTGCCTCTCTCGCTCCTTCCCCTCCCATTTCGGTGGTTGTGCCCCCTGTTCCTGCTATGGAGGTTTCTTTAGCCCCCGCTTCCCTCTCAGTTGCTGCTCTTGCTGAGGCACGCTCCCCTCTTTCTACCCCTCCTCTTCCTGCTGCTGTCCTTGCCTGCTCCTCCCCGTTGTCTCCTCCTCTTCCTCCTCCTCCTCCTCCTCCTCCCGACCCCGAACGCCCACCTCTGATCTGTTCACCCGTTTCCTTCCCTCCGTCTTTGCTCAGTTTACCCATGCCCAATAACCCTGACTTTCCTGACCCTGATCCCGACCCTGATATTCTTTAACGTGCTATGTTGCTCTTTCGCCTTTGTTTCTTCCTTGTTTTCTGGTTTTGTCCTTTCTCTTCTCGTCGTTGTCCATTCTTCAATGGAACGTTCGAGGTTATTACGCCAATTTCCTCGAATTCCAACTTCTGATTTCGCGGTTTTCGCCCCTTTGTGTCTGTCTCCAGGAGCCAATGCTTGGTGCTCGTCCTGGTCGTTTTCGTGGCTATTCCTTTCTCTCTTCCCCCCCCCCCCCCAGCCGTTGCTGGGGCTTCTAATTCTTCTGCTCTCTTGATTCGTGATGATGTTCCCTTTGTTCATTTACTTTTTCCTTCGCCTCTTCATTGTTCTGCTGCTCGTATCTCTGTGGGGAAATGGTACACAGTTTGTTCCATCTATCTCCCCCGAGTGTCCCGCTCTCTTCCTGATTTGAAACACCACGTAGACTCCTTGCTGGAGCCTGTGCTCCTGCTGGGTGACTTCAATTGTCGTCATTCTCTTTGGGGTGACGTTCTGACGAATACCCGGGGTCGCCTTCTTGAGCCGTTTCTCCTCTCTTCCCTGTCTCTTCTGAATTCTGGTGAGCCCACTCATTTGGACTCTCGGACTCGCACCCTTTCTTGTCTTGATCTTTCTCTCTGCTCTTCTTCTCTTTACTTAGATTTCACGTGGCAGGTTCTTGATGACCTCCATGGAAGTGATCATTTCCCCATCCTTGTTTCCTTTTTCTCTTTTCGCCCTCCTCTCCCTAGGTGGCAGTTTGCTAAGGCGGACTGGACCCTATTTACCCTCAGTGCTGCTCTCTCTGACCTCTCCCTTCTGCCTCTCCCTCGCGCTCTCCTCCTTCTTCATGACACTGTCTTCAACGCTGCCCTCCACTCTATTCCTCGCTCTTCCTCTCGGGATCCACGGAAGTGCGTTCTCTGGTGGAATGCGGACTGTGCTCGGGCTGTCCGCTGTAAGTGTGCAGCCTGGAAGAGGCACCGCCGTAGGCAGACGACCGATTCTTTTCTTTTCTTTTGGAAAGCAAGTGCGGTGGCCCGTAGGGCCATCCGTACGGCTAAACGTGAATGTTGGGCATCTTATGTCTCAACAATTACGTCCGAAACCCCTCTGACCCAGATCTGGAAGCGTATCCGCAAGATAGCGGGTAAGTTCGTTCCCGATGTTTCACCGGTCCTTCACCTCCATGATACTCTTGTGGCGGACCCGTTGCAGGTCGCTTCCGAACTGGGTTCCCACTTTTCTTCTGTTAGCTCTGGTCTTCATCTTCCCCAATCTTTCCTTCTTCGTAAACCTGTCCTTGAGTCTTGTCCTTTAGATTTCTGCACTCATCTTCAGCTTCCCTATAATGATCCCTTCTCTCTCTCTCTGAACTTCGTTCTGCCCTGGCCCTCTGCGGTTCTACGGCGGCGAGCTCCGATGGTATTCATTATGAGATGCTTCGCCATCTCCCTCCGTGCACGTCTCAGTATTTACTGAGTCTGTATAATCGGATGTGGGAGTCGTAGTCAGTCTCTGAGGACTGGCTCGATGCCGTTGTCCTCCCTGTTCGCAAACCGGGGTCTCTGGGTACTTCCCCTAAGGACTTTCGCCCTATTGCTCTCACAAGTTGTGTCTGCAAACTCTTTGAACGTATGGTTAACGTTCGTCTGATGTGGTTCCTGGAACACCATCACCTCCTCTCCCCTTCTCAATTTGGTTTCCGCAAGTGCTGCAGCACGACAGATGTCCTGGTGAACTTGGAGGTCTATATTCGTACTGCTTTTGCTGCGAAGACCTCCGTTGTTGCCGTCCTTTTTTACCTGGAAAAGGCTTACGACACCACTTGACGATATCATATTCTATCTCAACTTCATTCTTTTGGCCTTCGTGGTCATCTCC